GCCGGTTGAGCTATAGGCGCCGAGCCGAGGTGCTGTATTTTAAAGCACCTTTATAGCAAAGCAATGTGCAATATGGTATTAAAATACCAAATTATTTTCAATAGTTTCAAACAAAGTGCTGCAATTGCCTGCTTTACCCTCTCACGTTAAGCCCTCCCCACAGCAACCGTCTCTGCAATCCACTTAGCTATTCCTGAAGGATTTACACATCTCCATATTTCTATAGGCTATGTCAATGTGGCTTTCTTTGAACTGTTTATATGAACTTCTTATGATAGTATAGTTTGAGCATTCCTAATCCAAAATGCTCCAAAAATCCAAAGCTTAAAACTTTTTGAGTACTAACTTAAAACATGAGTACCAACATGATTTCACAAATGAAAAATTTCACATATGTAAGTACCTAACACAAATTCTGTTTCTTGCAAAAAGTTATTTAAACTATTGTATAAAATTACCCTCAGGCCATGTGTAAGGTGTATGTGAAACAAATGAATTTTGTTTTTAGAATTATTTCCTATCTCCAAAATACCTCCTTATATCTGTGGAATTATCTCAAGATCTGTAAAAATTCAAAATCCACAAACTTCTGGTCCCAAGCATTTTGCATGAGGGATACTCGACCTGTAATAAAAATGGATCTCTGGCATAATCATCCTCTCCCCTTCCCTTTCTCCAAGCTCCCGATAGAGTGGGATTGGCCTTTTTGGTTAAATCAATATTTGGTTGTTACATTAGTGTGCTGATGCAAATTCTGTCCAGACTATGCATTGTAGTAAACTCTAATAATATTATTTCCTTTCTCACTCTTCCTGCTCAAAGTCAGCAATTGTCATTTTCCTTCTGTTTCTTTTCATAATACTTTGATTGCTGGATCTTCCCACACTATTCACTAGCTTGCTACTATGATTTTCTACAAGGTTTACCATACCAGATCATCCACTATTTCCAGTGTTTTCTGGGCGCTGTCTGGCTTGGAGACCTCCACTCGCCTTTGTGGTGGCTTCAAGCTTTTCTTCATAGCTGTCTCATCAGACTTCCCTTCACCGTCAATCCAGAGACGCTGGCCTACGGAGTCAAAGTCCTGTTTTCTGGATACTATCCCCTTTCTTCATATAGTCCTTTTACTATGTTTTAGATGTTTACTTGGGTACATCTACTATTATAAAATTAAGGTTTAATGATAGCAGGTATGATGGTGACACACCTGCTGTCAGGGATAGATGTGTCTACATGGTTTGGTTGCCCTTGACACTTGGTCCACAGTTGTCATCCTAAGCTATTACCATCAGGATGCTTCTTTTGATCTTTCTTGGGTTCATTCTCCTGTTTTCTGTCCTTTTTCAGTGAGTGTGAAACAATCCTCCAGTCACTTACTGATGATAGGAAATAACAACTTGGGGCCTTATTTGTCAGCAAATGTTTCTATTTTATCCTCATACTTGTCTTAGTGCTTGGCTGGGTATAAGATTCTATGCTGAAAGTAATGTTTCTTTACTATTTGGAAAACATTACCTGTGGGTTTTTAGCTGTTGAGAAGTTTGAATTTAATCTAATATTGTATGTGACTTATATTTTTCCACTCTGAAGAAGATTGTGTAACATTTGACTTTAGAAAGTTCTAAAATTTTACAATGATGAGTCGTGATATGATCTTGTTTTCTGCCATTGTGCTATTATCTTGTTGGGCCCATTTAAGCTGGGACTCTTGTCCTTTAGTTAGAGGAAATTTCTTTTGCTGCTTTTTTTTGAAACAAAGTCTCACTCTGTTGCCCAGGCTGGAGTTTCCATTGGTCACTCATAGTAATTGCAAATTCTTAGGTTCAAATGATCCTCCTACATCAGCCTTCCAAGTAGCTGGGAATATAGGTGCCCACCATAATGCCCAGGTCATTTTTCTTTCTTTCTTTCTTTTTTTTTTTTTGCAGTTTTTGGCCGGGGCCGGGTTTGAACCCACCACCTCAGGTATATGAAGCCAGCACCCTACTCCTTTGAGTCACAGGTGCTGCCCAATTTTTCTATTTTTAGTAGAGAGGGGATCTTGCTCTTGCTCAGGCTGATCTCAAACTGAATTCAAGTGAGCCTCCCGCCTCTGCCTCCCAGAGTGCTAGGATTACAGGTGTGAACCATTGTGCCTGACTCAATTTCCTTTATTTATTTCACTGATTTCCTCCTTTTTTTTTTTGTTTCATTATACTAGAATTCCTGTAATTTAGATGCTGGATATTTTTTCTTCTGTATTTCTTTCAGCAAGAATTCCCCAACTTTATTCATCAATCCTTTTACTGAGTTATATATTTCGATGTTGTGCTTTTACGAACTCTTTCTTATGGTGTTTTTTTCTTGGTAAAATGTTATTTTATATTTATTTAATGGGTATAATGTTATCTCCCTGCCTGTTGTATGTTTGTACAAAGTTCCCCCCCCCTTTGTTTTTGTTTTTGTCTTTTCTCAGGAGTGAGACCATCCTTTATAATCCCTGATAAAGAGAAAATTGTAAAAGTTTACTCACAGCTGGGAGCATGTGAGTGGGGGTTGTTGATTTTGAATATCATTAGGCCATTTAGGGGGTACTTCCTCATATCACTATTTTCAGGTATCCCTTCTGGCAGGTTGGAAGAGTTCCTAGAGAAGGTTTTTTGTCTCCTTCCTAGAGACAAAGGCCTGACCGCCAGTGTTCTGGAAAGTAAAGGCGGGGCTGGGAGCCTCTCTTTAGCATTAAGCATTCAGTATATAGAAGTTCACTTAATTCTCCAGTTTTAATACAACATCTGACATCCCTCAGCACAGAAACTTTGTGCTCTCCAGCCTTCTGCTGAGCAGGGGGAAGGGGCGAGTGTCAGGCAGGTACAATGGAGGAGGAAATCGCATGTTAGATCTGCTTCACTGCCCCCATCCTCACTCTGTGCCCCTCATCTCCTTAACCCCAATTCTATGTACCCTGCCAGGTTGGTTCTTAGCCCTCTCTACGCAGGTGCCACTCACCCACCTGCCTCACAGCTTCAAATGTCTGCGCTTGTCTCCTCTCCTCTTTTCCACTCCTGTGGGTTCTTTTTTAAAACATGCATTGCTGTGGTTTGAGGATGAAAAAAAATTAATTGTATATGTGTGTCAACTGCATCATCTCTATCCAGAATTCTTTTTGTGTTTTATCCAGAATTCTAACTGGACCTCTTCTGTTCTTCTTCATTGCAGCCCTCTAGTGGTTTCCTTTATGACACTTGTCACAACCTCTAATTGAACGTGCATTTACTTATTTGTTGCTTATCTCAAGTAGCAGCATCAAGGAGGGGAGAGATCACATCTGCACTATTCACCCAATGCCCCTTTAAGAGCAGGTGTTAAGGTGTTGAGTGCGTGTGGAATGAGTGAGCAGATGAGCCGCCCTCATCCCCCAACACCATGCCCCGCCCCCCCAGCACTGCTCCCTGTACTTTCCAGGTGTTCCCTGTCAGCCCTCCCTCGCCTCCCCTGAGATAAGTGCTTTTTATCTTCACGTTCACTTTCCAGATGAAGGAACTGGGAAACAGAGTGGTTATGGAGTTGACCAAAGCCACCCAGCAAGTGACAGAACTGTGACCTGAGCCCCCCAGACAGCTGGCTCAGAACCCACAGCCTCCTCACCTGTGTGCACAGTGGCTTAAATTAGCGAGTTTGGGCAGAGGATCCTTTAGGGTGAAATTGTTCATATCCCCCCGTCTTCCAATAGGGGAATTAAGATTCATGTAGTGTCAATAGCTTGTCTAAGATTGTTCAGCTAGAAGTGGGACATAAGGAATTAAAATCCCAGTCACTGGGACTCAGGCCCAAAGTTCTTAACCATTGGGGGCAGTGCCACAGCACCAGCAGCTGCTCAGAACAGCTGCGCAGGAACATCTACGGACACATTAAAGCTAAAGCTAGAGGCCGGTAGCCAGAAGCCACAGCCCAGAACAACAAATAGAAAGTAGTCTTATCAATTAAGTACATATTTTAGCACATCATATTTACTTAGTATTTATTCTAAATACTATTTCATTAGGACCTTCTGACTTCAATAGAGACATTTGTACATAGAAGTATTTGCATTTACTGACCTCTTGATATAAGGTAAAACACACATCTGATGCAGGACAATAAATCTGATGATAAAAATAGAACAACTTTTTGACATAAATGTCTCTGGAGTCAGAGTGGCTTGAATGCTGATTCCCTTCTTATTAGCTGTCACTTTCCATCGATAGTTCAAATTTTTTTTTTTTATGAGACCAAGTCTCACTCTGTACCCCTGTGTAAAGTGCTGTGGCACCATAGTTCACAGCAACCTCATCCTTGTGGGCTCAAGCAATCCTCTGGCCCTGCCTCTCTAGTAGCTGGGACTACAGGTGCCTGCCACTACCCCTAGCTGGTTTTTCTATTTTTAATAGAGACAGGGTCTTGCTTTGCTCAGGCTGGTCTTAAACTCTAGAGTTCAGGTGATCCACCCACCTCAGCCTCCCTGAGTGCTAGGATCACAGGCATGAGCCATCACACTTGGAGTGAGTTCAAACTCCTCATAAAATGGGGATATGAAGACTCTAAGTCCATCGGGAAGATTAAATGCTAACACACATACCTTTCACTAGGTATAAAGCATTCAATAAATATGGTTGTTGGCCAGCCACAGTGTGTTAATCCTAACACTCTGGGAGGCCAAGGTGGGAGGATTGCTTGAGTTTAGGGCTTTGAGACTGGCCTGAGCAAAGTGAGACCCTTTCTCTACTAAAACTAAAAAAATTAGTCAGTCATGGTGGTGGGGCCTGTAGGTCCAGCTACTTGGAAGGCTGAGGGAGGAGGATCATTTGCTAGCCCAGCAGTCTGAAGTTGCTGTGAGCTGAGCTGAGGCCATGGTACTCTAGCCTGGTTGATATAGCAAATAATATCTATTAGGACAACAATGCTCTTACGTATAACCTACTTCAAAAAACAATTTCATAAGATAGCAATTGAAGTTTATGAATAAATCATATGAAGGGAGAATATGTTGCAGAAATATAGCAGACAGCTGATTATTCAATTAATAAGCAAGACTTGGCTATACAATGAAAACCACAGTTTTGTATTTCATTGTTTCTCTGTGGTTGCATTACTGCCACCTTGTGGTCATGTGAAATTTTCAAAGGAGGAATTTTTTTTTTTTTTTGAGACAGAGTCTCACTATGTTGCCCTCAGTAGAGTACTGTAGTGTCATAGCTCACAGCAACCTCAAATTCTTGAGCTAAAGCGATTCTCTTGACTCTGCCTCCCAAGTAACTAGGACTACAGGTGCCCACCACAATGCCCAGCTATTTTTTGTTCAGTTGTCATTGTTGTTTAGCTGGCCTGGGCCGAGTTCAAACCCATCAGCCTTGGTGTATGTGGCTGGCACTGTAACCACTGTGCTACTGGTGCCAAGCCAAAAGGAGGAATATTGATGCAATTAAGATAGACAGTGAAAATATTCTTGTTGTATGTGCCTTAAACATCTATCAAATACACAATAATTATAAATATTTCACTATTGCTAAAAATCCCATTTCTAATTAAAAAGCAATGGCTCATACCTGTAATCCCAGTGTTTTGGAAGACCAAGATGGGAGGATCACTTGAAGCTAGGAGTTTGAGACCAGCTGTGGCAATATAGAGAATCCTATCTCTACAAAAAATAAGAAAAATTAGCCTGGTGAAGTGGCATGCACCTGTTGTCCTAGCTACTTGGGATGCTAAGGCAGGAGGATCACTCGATCCCAGGAGTTGGAGGCTTCATTGCACACCACTGCATTCCAGCCTGAGTGACAGAGTGAGACTCTGTCTTAAGGGAAAACAATTTAAAGAACCTCCATAGATGACCACTTCCCTATGTTGGCCCCTCCCATAAGCTGACCTAATTTTCATAGACCAGGCATACACACATATGTATCAGTACAGTAGGACTAGTTCCTTGTGTTGACCACCTCCATATGTTGGCCAGTTTGTTACAGTCCCTTGCGGGTCAACTTACAGAGTTCTACAGCATGTCTATGGATATTGGTCACCACGACAATCCTTGAACTTATACTTAGCATTGTCTTAGTTATTCAATATATCTGTGTCTCAGTTTCCTTATCTTAAGAATGTGGGGGCGGGGGGCAGGTGCAGTAGTGTATGCCTGTAATCCCAGCACTCTGGGAGGCTGAAGTGGGTGGATTGCGAGAGTTCAGGAGTTCTAGACCAGCCTGAGCAAAAGTGAGACCTCGTCTCTTTTTTTTTTTTTTTTTTTGAGATGAAGCCTCAAGCTATCCCCCTGGGTAGAGTGCCATGGCATCACAGCTCACAGCAACCTCCAACTCCTGGGCTCAAGCAAGTCTCCTGCCTCTGCCTCCCAAGTAGCTGGGACTACAGGTGCCCGCCACAACGCCTGGCCATTTTTTTTTGGTTGCTGCCATCATTGTTGTGTAGCAGGCCCGGGCTGGGGATTTGAACCCGCCACCTTAGGTGTATGTGGCTGGTGCTTGAGCCACAGGCGCTGAGCCGAGACCTCGTCTCTTAAAAAAAAAAAAGCTGGGGGCACCTGTAGTCCCAGCTACTTGGGAGGCAAGAAAATTGCTTGAGCCCAAGAGTTTGAGGTTGCTGTGAGCTGTGATGCCACACCACTCTACTGAGGGTGACATGGTGAGTCTCTGCCTCAAAAAAAAAAAAAAAAAAAGAATAAAGAAGGAGATGGAGGATGAGGATTAAGGTAATTCTAATGCTCTGGTTTCAATACAAAATGATTTCGCAGGGTCATTTAAAAATGCTTTGGGCCTGGCACGGTGGCTCACACCTATAATCCTAGTGCTCTGGGAGGCCAACTAGGGCTGACTGCTTGAGCTCAGGAGTTCAAGACTAACCTAAGCAAGAGCAAGACTCCATCTCTAAAAATAGCCGGGCATTATGGGTGCCTATATTGCCAGCTACTCGGAGTGTGAGACAAGAGGATTGCTTGAGCCCAAGAGTTTGTTGTGAACTATGATGCCATGGCACTCTACCCAGGGTGACAGAGTGAGACTGTTTCAAAAATAAATAAATAAGTAAAAATAAAAATAATGCTTTGGAGATACAAATCTCCCTAAAGACCTAAAAGTCACTTATTACAAGACTATAATGATTACTCAGGGTGAAAAAAAATCTCCTGCTCTATAACTTTATGGAAGGGGAGGCAGGAAATTTCTGAGTTCACCAAATTATAAAAGTGGCTGGCTAGGATTTATTGGAGACATTTTTTTTTTTTGAGATAAGATCTCACTCTGTTGCCCAGAGTACTATAATGGCATCATCATAGCTTACCACAGCCTCAAACTCCTAGACTCAAGTGATCTTCCTGCCTTGGCCTCCCCAAATGCTAGGCTTACAGGCATTAGTCACCATGCCCAACCCAGAAAACGTACTTTCAAAAATACACATCTGGAAAAAAAATGATGCATATCAAATTTCCTCTTTATTATTTTGGTGTCCTTTAAAATGAACATTAAATAATCATGATTATGCTGTTTTCTAATTTACATTTCATTAGACTGAAAAATTCACCACACTTGTAAAGAGACTAAACCTGGGCTAAAGGATAAGTCAACAGCACAGGACACTCGCCTTACAACAGATGTCTTTGGCGCTGCATGTACACGAGCACTGGTGTACCTGAAGAGGTAGAATGTGTATTAGAAGAACAGAATTCCCTAGGCGCAAACACAGGAATATTTGAAAAGCTGTCCAGAAGCCAAATCCCGTTCCAGTCAACTGCCTCATGTTTCTAGCTATTCTAGGATAGCCAAGTTGGCCATTAAGGTAGCTTTCAACATGCTGGGCTGAGCTGTGAAAAGTGCCACATGGTTCTGGGCCCACTGCCCTTCTTTCAGCTCACAAAATCTGTGTAAGCAGCAGCAGTGTTCACACTTGTGTTTTGTTTAAAAACTATGAACATATTAACCATAGTGTACCTTATGTAAAGAGCATAAAGTCAAAATAATGACAAACTTTCTAAGTTCAGTTTATAGATCTGGCAAACATACGTAACAGCAGGTTGAACATCCCTTATCCAAAATGCTTGGGACCAAAGTGTTTTCAGTATTAGATTTCACCCCCCTCCCGCCTCAAATTCTGGAATATTTGCATCATACTTACTGGTTAGGCATCCCAAATCTGAAATGCTCCAATGAACATTTTCTTTTGAGCGCCCTGTCAGAGCTCAAAAAGGTTCAGATTGTGAAGCATTTTGGATTTGGGGTTGGGATTCTCAACCTGTATGTGATGATGCTTTTGCAAACTGTACTCTATGCACACATTAGACATATGTCATGGTAATGTACATCATCCAGCTGAGTCATAACAGGAATTAAATCGGCAAATCAGTGAGGTAATTATCCACTATCTGACTTAAGTTAATAAAGGTCAGATTTCATTTATATGTCATTTATACATATTAATAAATGATATATAAATATTTTATATTTTTCAGTTTGGCTTATATTTCATAACCAAGACTCAGACCTGCCAAAAATTTTATATATAAATAAATGCTTCAAACCAAGAAAAAAGCCATGATTAAATTATTTGGTCTTCAGAGCTTCAATACTAGTACGAATATAATTTTAAAAAATTGATTTTTTTTTAAATTGAGGCCGAGTATCACTTTGTCACCCTCAGTAAAGTACTATGGTGTCACAGCTCACAGCAACCTGAAACTCTTGTGCTCAAGCAATTCTCTTCCCTCAGCCTCCCAAGGAGCTGGGAGTACAGGTACTCACCACAACACCTGGCTATTTTTTTGTTTAGCAGGCCCTGGCCAGGCTTGAACCCACCAGCCCCAGAGGCATGTGGCCAGAGCCCTAACCATTAGCTATGGGTGCCCAACTGGATGTGTTTTACATATATTTTCCTTTCTAAGAATATTAATATTTGGTTTATAATCCTAATGACATCATATATTAAAGAGGGGATAAATGGATGATACATTTTATAGATGATATTCAGGTAGACAAATCCCATAGTCAAGCACATGGTAGACCAATGACAGAAAATGCACAAAGGCACAAGATCCTAATGATTCATTACGGTACCATGTATTAAATGCAATGATGAAATGAAGAACTGACAACCTGAGGTTTAGTCTTACAAAATAAAATGAATTTCTTTACCTTCAGTGATATTATTTAACTTTAAGGGAGCCAGATTAAGGAAAAGGGGAATTTTAGAAACCTAAAAACATAATGAAATCATTTTTCATTAATAAAAAAATTAAGATAAAAATTAAAAAAAAAAGTTTTATAGGTAAAATATTTAGTCATACACACACACTATAAGAACTGGTGACAAATGTATTTTTCAATTGACTTTTTAAAATAAAGATATGGGGCCGGTGCAGTGACTCACACCTGTAATCCTAGCACTCTGGGAGGCCGAGGTGGGTGGATTGCCTGAGCTCACAGGTTCAAGATCAGCCTGAGCCAGAGTCTCTAAAAGTAGCTGGGCATTGCAGCAGGCACTGGTAGTCCCAGCTACTGGGATGGCTGGGGCAAGAGAACTGCTTCAGCCCAAGAGTTTGAGGTTGCTGTGAGCTATGATGCTATGGCACTCTACCAAAGGTGACAAAGTGAGGCTCTGTCTCTAAAAATTAAATAAATAAAAATAAATAAAATCAAATAAAGATATGATTTACATCTATAGAGTTAGACCCCAATCTATATAATGTCATAAATTTGAAGAAAAATGTAACTACTTCCTTTCTCAAGTGGGAGAATAAAAATGATGAAATCTGCTTCCTCTTTAAATCATATTATTTTTCTTCTCATTATTCTTAAATTGATATTTTCTCCCTCTTCTAGGATCAGATATTTAAGGAGCTGCTCACATCTGATGCACCTCATCTTCTGCAAGATTTGGACACATATTTAGGAGAAAAAGAGTGGTTTATTGGTAATTCTGTGAGTATATTTTACATCTTAAAATTCATAAATATAGAATAAAATGGAAAATAAAGTATAAGCCAAAAACTTATAAAAATTTTTTGAAATTTGGGCAGCGCCTGTAGCTCAGTGGGTAGGGAAGGGTGCTGGCTCCATATACTGAGGATCGTGGGTTTGAAGCTGGCCCCGGCCAGCTAAAACAGCAGTGGCAACTGCAACAAAAATAGCTAGGTGCTGTGGTGGGCACCTGTAGTCCCAGCTACTCAGGAGGCTGAAGGTAAGCCTCAGCTTAAGCCCCAGAGTTGGAGGTTGCTGTGAGCTGTGATACCATGGCACTCCACTGAGGGTGACAAAGTGAGACTCTGTCTCAAAAAAGAAAAAAAAGTTTTTGAACATTATATTACCCATCTGGAGAGGATATAGTATATAGCAGGCACAAAAACTAAGCTTCTTTAAATAAGCCTTTTTTAGTAGATTTGACTTTGGGATAATAAAATATTTCATATAATTATGTAACAACAAAAATTTTGATATCAAAAGCAAAATGCAACAAATGAAGCCAACTGTGCTGAAGAGGTGCACACAGCACATAGAGAATGCACATGAACTCCACTGGTGAGAAACTGTTCCAAGAAACATCAGTTGTCATTGGTAAAACATAGTAATTTGATGATACATTTCAAGACAGATGCTCTCCAGACAAAAAATAAAAATCACACACTTTCAGTAATCATATTGTTGGTGTAGGTACTGTCAGGGTCTCCCCCAGAAGCAGGGTCTGCTGAGAACTGTGGAAACTGGTGGCAATCGACTGAAGAAATACAGAGTTAGAAACATCGGTAAAGAAAGAGACATGAGGCTCGACGCCTGTAGCTCAAACGGCTAGGGCGCCAGCCACATACACTGGAGCTGGCTGTTTCGAACGTAGCCCAAGCCTGCCAAACAATAATGACAGCTATAGCCACACACACACACACACACAAATAGCCGCGTGTTGTGGTGGGCACCTGTAGTCCCAGCTATTTGGGCGGCTGAGGCAAGAGAATCCCTTAAGCCCGAGAGTTTGAGGTTACTGTGAGCTGTGACGCCACTAGCACTCTAGTGAGGGCAACGTAGTGAGATTCTGTCTCAAAAAAAAAAAAAAGAAAGAAAGAAAGAGATGAGAGACATAGAGTAGAATTTTCAAGGGTAGAAACTCAGGGGACCACTGCCCATTTGTGGGGTCCCAGCAATGGCTCTGAGTGTCTATT